AGAGAAGATAGTACAGACAGAGCAGAATATAGGAAAAACCTTGAAAAAATTTTAAGAAGTTAGGACGAAGTAGTAAAAGCTAGTATTGCTACAAAGACAAGAACTAAAGAAAGGGAATAGGAGAGTGCAAAGAAAACAATGAAGCAAAAAATGAAAAGAAAGAAAAGAAAAAGAAAAGAGTAACAAAAAAACCCAAAACCTACAATTCAACAGGAACCCAAATTCCCTCTTGACTGCTATGACATAAAGTCTGAGGGCCCACTCAGTTCCTTTCTTGGTTTAGTCACGGTCTGTTCCCAGGAAGCCACGTTACTGTCCCATGTACAGGTTGTTTATCAACTTTCCCAGAAGTAGTAGGGTGTCAGTTTCTTTGATCCCGTTTCCTTAATGCAGGGTGTGTTTTGTGTGTGGTCAACTTCACTCTTTCCTCTGTGTCCCATAATCCAACCTACTCAATTAATTTGACAGAGGGAGGATGTGAAATAATTTTCCTGACACCAAGCTCTCCTCCCATCTTCTGCCAATGTCCTATGAGCTCTACTTCCCTGTGTGCTACAGGAACCTCAGGGTTCTTGTTTCAGAGATTTTCCTACTAATTTGTCGCCAGAAGTTCTCTGCCCCAGCCTGTATGTCTTTTCCTTTGCACTTAAATCCCAAACTGACCCTGTCTCAAGAGCTCCCCTTTCCACCCAGCAGAATCTGTCACAGTCCCTGGGCTTGGTTCAAAGACCCCCCCCCCCATACTAGCCATTGCTCAGGATTTCCTGCTAACTCAAATGTTTCCAGTCTTTGTGGAAACTATAAGGAAGAGCTCACTCTGGGTCAACTCTTCAGTCCTGCTCCTGTAGGGAACAGGGGAAGGGGACGTTACCAGAACCTCTGCAGTAAGTCCTAGTCTCCTGCGAGCCACAACAGCACACGGTGAATTACAGGATAGGTAGAAAAATGAGACTGAGAAGAAGCTGAGCTTTGGGTCTGATCAGTGCTGCTCTGGGCGGCAAAGACGAAAGCCCCCAGCTTACCGCAACTTTTATTCAGTACATCAGGAGAAACAGATATAACAAATGACTTGCAGAGAGTTCAGTACATCCTGCGTAAATAAGATGGTAACAGTCCAAGAACAATGAGGAACTGAGTAGATGTTTGTTCCTCCCAGGATGTTTTCAGCTCCCAAGATGTTTCTTGTCCTGGAGAATCACAGCATCACGGGATCACTGAGGTCTCAGTTGTGACCAGAGGCCAAAATGGAATTATGTCTTGGAATTCCATAGCTGGGCTGTAGGCAAGAGAACTAGGCTAACCAAATGACTTTTCCCTAAAATTATGTAGCATTGCTCCTGACATGCTCTGATCTTTGTAATTTCCTCCCTTGTGTGAGCTTTATTTTTCCCTAAAATTATGTAGCATTGCTCCTGACATGCTCCCTCCTCTGTGCCTCCAGGGATGTGATCCATGATGGGTCCTTTTTGGTGGACTTGGCGCTACTCACCCCTCTCTGCCTGTGTGTTGGGGGGTATCCCTTGTCTGCAGCAAGTGCCGGAGAGGTTTCTGCTGGGATGCAGCGTTCCCCAGTGTTTGGGGACATAATGGGGAGAGGGAGTAGATATACTGCAGAGTCTGCTCCAAAAATCTGGCCCCTCCAGTGCTAGTTGCTTCCCTCAGGTTACATGGGCTGCTCCCATGATGGCTGCCCCAGTGATGGCTGCTCCTATGATGGGTGCTCCTCGGAGAGGGTGGGGTGGGGATGGGGTGGTGTGGACAAGCTGTGGGAACTCTGCTTCCCCTTTTCAAGATCCAGATATTTGGTTTGAGCTACATGTATCGTCTTTCAGATTAATCTTTTATTTCAGGGTGTGATTGCCTACTGTGGTTCAGGGTACTTGTACTTGCCAGTGAATCTTCTCGGAGCACCTCCACGTGACCCTTGCTTTAGTCAGGGATGTTGGACCTCTCCTTTAGCATTCTTACGGTCTGAATTATGCTGATTTCATCATGGTGGTATCATTTAACTAATCTTTCTCTCTTGTATTTCCAGTTGATTGATAGTTATAGCTGGAGAATTGATCAGATTCAGGTTCAAAGTACTTTGGCCAAAAATACTTATCAATGGGATTTTTGTTCTCTAATCTTTTTTTTTTTTTTTTTTTTTTGGTACCGGGGATCGAACTTGGGACCTTGTGCTTGCAAGGCAGGCACTGGAACCACTGAGCTAAATCCCCGGCCCTTCTCTAATCTTTTTCTCTTATTCAATGGTACTGAAATGAATAGTTTTGTTTTATTTTATACTTTTGCCAATATAGTTTTCAGACATTTTCTAAAAATGGGATTGCTGGGTCACAAAATCCATGTGAAATCCACACATACTCAGATTCCATTCTATAAGGGTTGTATCATTTTGTATTTCTATTAGAAATGTAGAGCATATTTCCCATAGTCTCACAATATGTTTTGCATATTTGAGTTTTCAGCAACCTCTAATGAGAAATTGCATCTTCATATAGTTTTTTTCTTTGTATTTATGTTGATAGTTATTCATGGAGGTATAACTCACATACAAATAAAATGAACAAGTGTAAGTATACTTTCCAGTGATTTTTGACAAATATATAGACACATGTAACCAACTTGTAAATTGTCCATTGGTTAATAGTGTTTATTTCTAAAAATAGATCTTCTGGTCCTAAGGGGTTTTGTAGTATTCCAATATTTCTATTTAGGTTTTTATTATCTTGGACTACCATAATAAACTACATAGGAGTCTTTCAGTTTCTAGTTCATTTATGAATTTATTATTTTTGTCTTTTTTCAAAGGAGTTTTAAGTAATCAGTACCATGTGTAAATCATTACCCACCTTAAATATTGATTTCATATGGCTTATTGCCCAGTAAAATGATTTGGAATCACCCAGAAGTCCCTGTTGATAAAGATACAACTTTAAATCTTTTTGTTATTTTTAAGACTTTATTTTTCTTCATTTTTGGCCTGAGGATAGAAGTAGAATCAGTGAGTGAATTTACAAAAAATTGGGATGTTGTACAAAATGTTGTAAATGTCTAGTGAAAAATAGTAGCTTTATTTTGATTTTTCAAATCTGTTTAATTGGCCTTTCCCAGGCCCAAAGGCAGCAACATTGATTTTTCTTCTTAAGCCATAAAAATGTGTCCATGTGTTCCCCCAATGCATTATAATTTTCTTTGTACAAAGTGGACCAAATATGTCAAAGAAATCTAATTTTAAAACTGTGTCTGTTGCAGCAAACTTTAGCGACTTTAGATGGTAAAGAGTTGGAATAAGTTTCAAACATTCTTAAACCAAGTGCTACAGTGTCAGATCTTAGAGATTTTGTATACTTTTCTTCTTTCATCCAGTAAAATAGTGATGACTATTTCTCTGCAGAACCCTCTACTTATTTTTTCTTAAGTTTCATAATTGTAGCACTTTTAAGGCCTTCTGTGGAAAAATTTCGACTTTGACTTTATTTTTTAAGTAGTCTTTAGGTTAATTTGTTTATCCCTAATTTTGAATCAGAAGTCAGCACAGCAGAAAGATAAACTCAAGGTTAAAGTAATCAGTGAGTAACATCTAGAAATAGCATGCATTATGAAGATTCCTTCTTGGAACCTGTCTTCTGAAATTTTTATGTCTTCATTATAAAGCTGTCAGAGTACTAAATATTCTTATAGCAGAGAAAATATGAAATTTGTGCATTTCATCGAGTTTCTGATTTGTAATTTTGTACATGTTTTAAAGGTGTTTTCATGAAATATATACCTTCAGATTACATGAGTGTGTCAGAGTCTAACCAGGAAGCAGACATTACTTGAGGATTTGGCAAATGGTAATGCACATGCTAGAGCTGAAAAGCAGAGGCCTGGGGAGTCAATATAGAGATGAACAACCACTGGGAATCAACTGCCATTCCTACGTCAGAGGGACACAAAGAAGCAAGGCTAGATGATAGCCCTTGAGCTGAGGTTATCAGAGATATTTGGAGTCATAATAGAATTCTCCAGATAAAAATTGAAGCATTGGAGAAAGTGTAGTTCCTTCTGAGAACCTCTGAGAGTAGAAAGGTGGGGGGTGGACATATGCTTTGACTTCTCCTTTTCTCCTCCCTTCAATCACCTCTAGCCAGTATCTTCCTTTGGCTGAACTGGACTTTTAGGGGTGCCTGAGAAATATAGGCTGCTTTATGATTTAGAGCAGACTAAAGCAACAGGCCCAGGCCTGACAAAACTTGGCAGCAGAAACCTAAAAGCACTAATTATGTGCTACATTTTAAAAAACCATAAACTTGAGGAAAATTACATTTAGTTGAAAATTAGGTTTCCATGTTAACATTACTTTTCATAATTCTTTTAATTACCTTCTAATAAATATTTGCCTAAATTTAAAAAATTATTTATAGTCATGGGTTTGAAAGACTCAAATTGAATCTTCAAAGCCATATTTCTAGTACATCCTGGACCCTAAAGCCCTGCCTCCTAACAGTTTAGCAATAAATCTTTCCCATCTTATGCTGAGGAATGAGATAAAAACCAATACGAACACGAAGGTTCTATGTGACTTGAATTCTTAAGAGGTTTATGATCTTGATCAAGTCTTTGAACTTTTCTTTCCTTCAGTGTCCTCATCTGAAAAATGGGAATTATGACATTCATAATTCTTGACAGGAAAATGTGTCCAAAATAGGGACAGGTATATGGAACACTCTAGAAAAAATTCTTTTGATATATGAATTAGGTATTATTTATTGTATATATGAAAAAATAGGATGATCTTATGTCTTTTCATACCTTATAAACGTTCTTAAATTGGTCAGTATTCAAAACTATTCTCTCTTTCTTCTTTCTGTTTTTTAACATCGTATTTTATGTGTATGATGTGCTAGAAGATGCACTAATAAGGACTGAAGAAAGTATTTAATTTAAAATACGCCTATTAAACATTTCTGTTTAACTGTAATGTTGCTATTCTTTTGTTCTTCCTCTAAATCTAGATCAGAAAAGCAGTGGAGACTTCAAAAATATCCAAAGAACAAATGCTAATCAAACAACACAAACAAGTGTGGTGGCTAGAACACCAACGACTAAATGAACTCAAGTAAGAATGAGGATAATCTCCATGAGAATATGTAGAAATCACTAGCAGTTGCACTTATCTGGTCAGATGTTTTATCATGCTCATATTAATTAAGCAATTACAATCAAACTTTAAAATTATTGTTTGAATTTGAGTCAAATTTAAATCCTTTCATTTCCTCAGTTTAATCTAGAATCTGTAAAGAAAAAAGATAATTGTTGTCTATCTGCCACTCACTTATTTTTCTGCACTTCCCTGTTATACTTCAACTTATTTCTTAGTATGGTGTATTGTATTATGGGAAGACAAATATGTAACCAAAACATAATGCAACGTACTAAGAATAACAGAAATAAATATAAGTGGTTACATTCCTCATGATCTAAAATGGCATCATATTCACCTTCACATTGTGGGACACACAGAAGGAAATATGTAAATCATTTCAGTATATGGATGAACAAATTGAACTAAGGCATTCAAGTTGTTTGGTAGTTTTCTTGATGTAGTTGTATCATGATTTATTTAATTTTGATTTTTGATTTTTGTTATTTTCAGCAGCCACTTAAAACTGAATTAAAACAAAAAAATTTATATTTGATCTTAATTGTAACCTTTAAAATAGAAATTTCTTTTCAAAAGTCATGGGAGGCTGGGGATTTAGCTCAGTGGTTCCGGTGCCTGCCTTGCAAGCGCAAGGTCCCGAGTTCGATTCCTGGTACCAAAACAAAAAAAAACAAAAGTCATGGGAGAAAGAGAAGGCAGGTGTATTGTTCCTTCATTTAAGATAAATAAATAACATAATATATTTGCTTTAATAATAGTGGTACTTATAAAAGGTGCTTTTGAATGTGTATTAAGCATTTATTTTATGTCAAAATATATAATTTCTGTCTAAATCAAGTTTCCAAATACCATTAGCTTTATTTTTTATTTAGATATTTTTCACATTAATAGACCTGCTTTGTTTTCCCAAGTGATTTTCATATGTCAGGTAAAATGCTCATGATTGGCAAGGGTTTTATATTATAGAATAACTCAATACAGAAAAACAAAATTATGTAGACTTTTTTACTGTATTTCTACTATAAAAACTAAAGGAGATCCATCTTATCCTTCAAAAAGTCACCTTTATGGGGAGAAAATGTTTGAGCATGTTGAATTTTTAAAAAATTTGCATAACTTGAAATATAAAATGGCAAGCCATTAGGAACCTTTAATTATGGTGTTCACTGATGCAAGCTCAAATGTAAAAGAATATGCTGGGAAAAGGTTTTTTTTTTATCTTGACTGTCCCACATTTTCCTAATTTGTGTATTAAGTTGTCCTTGAGCTGGACAAAGGAAGAATGTACATATCATTATGGCAAATAATTCTATGGGCTGACTTGGAATGACACAAAGCCGGTGGAAGTGAGGAACATTCTGGTAATACTGACCTTAATGTCTTGAAACTTTTAACAGCTGAAAATTGGACAAAAAGAATCCCAAGATAATTTTCTATGCTATTCCAGAATTTAGGCTAATTTTAATATGTGCTTAGTGAACTTAAAAACTAATAGCAATAAGAGTTACTGAAATGTTTAGATTTGTGGAGAATTTAGGGTCCTCTAGCAAATCAATAGTTTCTCTACCTGTGTTTGTCAATCTTTAAAAATCTACACTCACTATAAATAAGTAAAAGATTCTTATCCTTTACCAGAAGACTCCATTTGAGAATCTTAGTCCCACAGAAGATATGTGCCTACAATGGTGTCTAATTTTTGTTGGGTAATTTAGTTTGTGTAGGTAATATGCTAAGTACTTTACATATTTTATTTCATTTAATCTTTGCAGTGAGCCTACAGTGTAGATATGTAACATTGCTATCCCAGTTTTACAAATGAGATGGAAATCTCAGAAGATTAAAGTTAGTTGCTGGATGTAAATAAACTAGTTTGTGTGGAGGTGGGGTTGAGGCAGTTGCACCTGTCTCCTGTGCTCCGTGACCTTGGAGTTGGGCAGCTTTTTCTTTTTTCCACAGATTTCCATTTATATCATGCAAGATATAATTGGTCTACTCTTGCTGGCCGAGGTGGGAGAAAAGCAAAATTTAATTCTTTGAAAACTCAACAAAATTTCCGAATTTAAAATTATGTTTAATATTTAAATATTTAAATTATATTTAAAATTTGATAGGGTTATTCAAACTACATCCCTTGAGGACTCTGATACACTTTCCCAAGGGCAGTTACTCACTTGTTGCATCCTGGTAATTCTGTTACCACAAAGAACCCTGAATTTCTGTGTTATCATTTGCATATATATATATATATATATATATATATATATATATATATATATGTATGTTGTTTTTTTTTTTCTCTTTTGGTGATGCTGGATATTGAACTCAGGGCCTTCTCACTGAGGTACATATCCAACCCTTTTTTTAAAATTTTGAGAGATGGTCTTGCTAAGTCCCTAAGTTGACCAGAGCAGTCTCCAACTTGCAATCCTCTTGCCTCAGCCATCCGCAGTGCTAGGACTACAGGTATACACCCCCACACCCAACTGTACATAATATATTAATCTATGCAGCACAACTACCTGGAGATAAATCAGCCCGATAAAGGGTGTTTTTGAAGCCTCAGAAGTCTACTTTAAATCCAGGTTCTTATCCTTCCTGGATAGTGCCAAATTTCTTGGTGGAGGATCAGTGAACAAAGTACCCATAGCTTCTTTCTTCTTACAGTTTATATTCTCTATTGGGGCTTTCTGGGTGCTGAAAATATAAGGGAGCTTGGCTGGGTTTCTTTTTCATTAAGTTTATTGGTACATTTTAGGTATAAAATACAGTTACATTCATCATTGGGATCTTGTACCTTTACATGATGTATCTTGGTTTTATTTTTTCCCCATTCCCCTACCTTCCCTTCATCCCCTCCATCCTTCCCTATTTACAAAGACTTTGTTTCCATTTTTTTCCTTTTTTCATTTCCCTTCTTTCCTTCCCCTACCCCTCCCACTTCCCCTACTCCTTTAGACCTTTTCTTCCTATTTCACAATATCAATTATACATTTTATTCTTTACTTACACTTTTAATTTTTCACACCAGAGAAAGTATTCGGTATTTACACAATGTGTGTCCTATTTATTTCACTGAAGGGACACAATGAAAGTAGTTCTATGAGGGAAATTCATAGCAGTGAATGCCCAAATTAGGAAAACAGAGCTAGCTCAAATAAACAACTTAATGCTGAATCTTAAACTAGAAAAAGAAGAGCAAGACAAACCCAAAGCTCATACAAACGAGGAAATTATAAAGATCAGAGCAGAAATCAATGCAATGGAGACTAAGAGAACAATACAAAAAAATCAACGAATCTAAGAGTTGGTTTTTCAAGAGAATAAATAAAAGTGATAAACCCTTAGCCAACCTTACCAAAAAAAAGGAAAAAAAGGTTCAAATCCATGCAATTAGGATCAGCTTGGTTTTTAAGTGCTACATTTTTGGTTAAACAGCTCTGTTCTGAAATAAATTCTGGTTTGACTCCATTTGTAGTAGTTGCAAATGTGACTTGAAAAATTTCTTAAATAACTACATGCTGGGAAAATAGATGGTGAAGTATAATTTATAATAGCACTCCTCCTTTATACTTACAAACAAATACAAAACCCCTATCTTGTGTGAGTAAATTGGCTTAGAAGGTGATGAACTACATAAAAAATGGTATATAATTCAGCCTTTAAAATGATAGTTATGAAAACTATTTAGACATATCTAAAAAAATCAAAAAGTACTCTACAGTATAAAATGATAAACATGCTATTATGAGAACTATATAAAATTTATGTAGTTAAGGGCTCAAAACTTGTTGGCAAAAAATGAAGCTAATCACTGTATTAAAGTATTTTAATTGTTGCTACTTTCTTATTTTATATAATTTTAATATTGTACTTTAACAATCATAATAAAGCAAACTCTTCTCTGTGATTTAATTGACTGCCATAAGCAAGGGATAAAATAGAGTATTTTGGGATGCCCATTTTAAGAGTTGGTCATGGATTTACTCTAAAAATGGGCTTTTTTACTATATTTTATTTATTTATTTATTTATTTTTGGTACTGGGGATCAAACTCGGGACCTTGCACTTGCGAGGCATGTGGTAGAACCACTGAGCTAAATCCCCAGCCCATATATTTTAAATATAAAGATTTATTACTGTTCCTAGTATATAAAAATAAAATATACTTTTTCTTTCATTTCTCTGGTTCAGAATCTCATTTCTTATTTTTTAACTGGATTTTTACTATTGTATGTTTGCTAAACATGATAATTATATTCATCTTGCAGAATTGCTACATATACATATTGGATTTTAGTCATTTTCACTTCCCCTTCCCTTCCCTGCCCTGTTGTCTCCCCCCCAAACCCAGGCCCTCTTCCTATCTCTGCAAAGGAACTTTTAAAGTGGCCTCCTCATGGGTCCATTTGTGTAATTTCTTCTCTTCATCTTCCATTTCTATTGCTCACCCCACCTTCAGGCTCTATTTTGTCTTGCTTCCATGTGAATCTTTCTACAACACAGATCTGAGCAGGTGAGGACAGCTTGATACCCTTCAGCTGCTTCCCAATGTCCCAGCTGCTCACCGCATGAAGTGGTGCCAGCACCCGCTGTGTGCTGCCTTTGGTCATGCTGTCACTTCTGCTCGTTTTAGGGATTTAGCACATGGTCTGAATACATGAGCAGTTGAACAAAACCACGTTACAGTGAACATCCCTACTACCACTTATTTTTAAACCTGTGTGTTTGATGGCGATCACAAAAAAGTTGACTGAGATCATGTCTATTTCAGATGTAAATTGGATTCTGAAATAAAATCTTTTCTCAATGAAGAGCACATTGGAAACAAGTGTCTTTGTGAACTTAGGAATTTTGGTGAGATTTTTTTGTATAGTATATTTAAAGGGGAATTTTGTTTTGAAGAATGAAAATGGGCCATTCACGTCATGCTCTTTTAATATTAATGGCCACTTTTTCTAAAGTAATAAAAATATTTGCATTCTCAATATCTGTTAAGAATCTTAAAATAATAATGTGTTGCCCTGATTCAATTTTGTTTCACCACAGAACAAGAGTTATCAGAACAATGGAGTATGTATCTTAAAGACGTGATAGATCCTATTCATCAGCTGAGAGCAGATCTAAAGTACCGACAGCATCACACCTTACAGCATTCACGCCATCATATGGAGTTTAACTCAGGCCCAGTACTGAAAGAAGTCAGTATGATACATTTATTTTTGATAATGTAATATGAAAACAGTTTGAGATAAGAAACAAACATATGTGTCTTGTGTATTTAAAGAGATGCTCATTCAGTATCTTAAACATATGTCTGAATCTGTCCATGCACCCTCATTTCTCATAATTGGCTTCCCTGCTCTCTTCCTTGCCCCTTCTCCCAGGACACTCGGGGATCCTACCCTAGTGCAGGGGGCTCAATTCATCCTGTTGCTGAAATCCCCCGGGCTCCTGTTGGCCCTTCTGTCCTCCTACCCATCTGATCCCTTTATTGATGCTTCAATTAATTTTCCACCTGGCACTGTCCCTTTCTATGAGAGCTGGGTACCATAATATTGGCCCCCTTTCTGTGCCTCCAACTTGCTAGGCTTGCTTCTGTCTCAGATCTTTAGGTTGGCTACTTCTTCTGTCCAATTGATGACATTTTCTGTCATTTCGTTCCTGGCTTAAATGTCCTTTCCTTGGACAGGCATGTCCTAGGAGCCACAGTTGCTCCCTGTCACACCCTATTTTTATATCACTTCTTCCTCTTGATGCTTTCTCCTGTATTTTTGTTTGTTAGTTTGTTGACTGCCTCCCCTCAACAGAGCATCAGCTCCATGAGTTTAATTGTGGTAGGTGCAGGAGTTTAAATGACTGTTGTTTCTCTGCTTCTCAGCTGTTCTGTAATATTACATTGCTTTCATACATAATAAATTTAAATCTATGCCTTGCTGGGGACCAGAGGCATGAATGTATAGGAAGGAAGGGATGATTGAAGTAGAGAAACTCTGCCAAGTTCTCTGCCTTATCATGAACAAATCCAAATGTGGGTGCAGGATGGCTGTGACCATACAGTGGGGCCCCTTTTTGGTTATTGTCTGGAAAGCCTCACTGAGGCTCATTTGTGGGATAAGCCCCGCTTGGCCAGCCTTTCTTTCGCTTTCTTTCACATGACCTCAAAGAGATTTTTCCCTTATCTCATTTTGCATCACTTACTGGCTTTTGAGAATAATTCTCATCTTTAAGTATACATATTGGACAAATTGCTGTAATTTGCACACTGCTTGTTTCATGTGCACTGTAGGTTGACTTTGTGAAAAAACAATTGAAAGCTGTCTTTGCAAGCCTTGGGCGGGAGCAACAGAAAATAGAAAATGATTTTTCAGACTGCAGTGTGAAAGTAAGTGGGATGCAGCTAGTAATTTATTTACCAATTTGTCATTTATATTAAATGAAATAACTATATAATTTTCTTTTCAGATAATCAGTTATTCTTTAGAAGAAAAAACTAACCTACTTAGTGAACTACCCACAGAATTAGAAACTTTGGAATGCCCATACCCTGAATTGAAATCATCAATCCTTAATGAGTTCTGTAACTTTACAGAGAAATATCAAAAGAAACTTCATGATTTTGATCTGCAGTTAGAAAACATATACAGGTAATAAGATAAAACTACTTGAATCCTGGAGATATTTGACACTAAATTTTAATTCAAGTTCAGTATACTTCTAATTTACTGTTTCACTGTTAAATGTGTGATTGGAATGCAATCAATAAATGTTTAGATGGACTATTTGTTGGAGAGGGTTCTTTTTTCCAAAATAGTTTCCTTATATAATGGGAGTTACTGTTTGGTTTGGTTTTGTTGAGGCAGGGTTTCACCGTGTAGTTCAGGCTGGCCTTGAATTTGCAGTGATCCTCCTGCCTCAGCCTTCTGTGGATAACAGTTTTTAAGATTTTTCTTTTCTCATACTGGGCATCAAACTCAGGACCTTGTGCTTGCAAGTCAGGTGCAGCACCACTGAGATAAATCCCCAGCAATAGTTTTTAAGATTGGTTTTGTAAGGTTAAAGCATGATGAAAATATCCCTCTTACTGGTCTTTACTTCACAGGTAAGAATGGTTTTCAAATATGAATTTTCAATAGCTACAAATATTTATTTTAATATATAAACTTCGAAGTGGAAATTTACAAGTCAGCACTGACAAGTAATTATAATGGAAAATACACTCATGGAATTATGTTGCTTATAATCAACAGTGATTTTGTCCTGTAGTGAACACAAAGTATATTTCTAAATTTTTGAAAGCTTTCTTTTGTATGTAAATTTTGCTTGAGAAAATAGGCTTTTGGTTGTATACTGAGAATGACAATCCTCTTTTAAATGGCAAATGGTCATTGATTTAAAATTTCATTTTGGCAGTGATCATCTTCTCTAGTGTCTTCTATATTATAATTTACATAAAGGATACATCCAGATATGCCACCCTGAGTCAGATCCATGATCTAACTTAGATACTGTCTTTTATGACATTTCTAGGGGATATTTTTTGGGCAAACTGCTTCTTTTTCCATAATATTGGCCTCAAAAATTTCCCTAAAGTGCTTACATTTGAAAAGAAAGGAAATTTACTAAAGGGATACATTTATAGAAAATTTTAAAAAAGAGGTTCTTAATTTTGAAATGGAAGGCAATGAGTATAACAAGATATTTGTATTTCTTATTAATTGTGGTGAATGCAATTCTTCTCTATGAAACTACTGGTATTAAGAAATAAACAAGGAAACCTTATATCCTATGGCACCAAGTCGATATCTGTATCGGTAGCTTCTAGATCCAAACTCTTACATTTTAGCTGTTGATTACATTAGAACGCTTGCAGATGACAAAGGCAATCAGAGGAAAAGTCAGAGCCTTTCCAGGCTTTTGCCTCCTCCTTGGCACTTCTGGGAACTAGTCTTGTGTTCCTCCCAGCCAGATATCTTTGGTTTCCTGACAGCCTCTCTGTCCCTACCTCTTGCCCTTACTTTCTCCTTTCTTACCTTATGATAAAGCTAAGAAATAGGTTAATAATATATCATGTACACTTGTTGACTGATTACTCTTTAACTGGAACTCATCACAGTTGACATATTACCTCAACCATGCATTTAATTTAAGTCTCAAATTTTAAAATGAGTATTGTCTCTCTGCTTCCCATCCAAACCTTGTTAAAGAGATTTTAGAACTCATCAGGCAAGGGTTTTTATTTGGTAGGGGAAGAGTTACCATAATCAGGCTGATTAGTTGTGGCTGTGAAGGAGATTAAACTCTGACTGTCCTTTCAAAGCAATTTGGCTGGACCAAGATCTTCCTGCTCTGATGACACTTTGTTCTCCTGTGAAAGTGACTGAATTTGTGGCATCTCTAGGTTAGCATCTCTTAACTTTGGCAGTTTGCCTTAGCAGCCTAAGACAGCTTCCTCTCAGTAAGATCTCTCCCTCATAGCCTCCTTTCTTTCCTCTGAGTTCAGCTTTCACTCTTCCTTCATACAATCCTGTGCCACTCCAGAAAAGTTGGGATTCATAGCTACATTGAAATTACAGAAGAGAAGTAGATGAATGTACATGATGATGTGCTAATATTTGTGCAGTTGGAAGAATGATTGAGAATAAACCAGAAAAGCTTGATGGAGGAAGGAAAGTTTACTATGGACTTTGATGAATAGTAGGGTTAGCACAGACCGAAAATGGGTAGGAAAAGCATTCTATGGAAGAAGATGAAATGATTATACTATAAGCTCCTTGAGGACAAAGTAATTTATTAGCTATGTCTGTGTCCTTAACATCTTTTCCTTGAGATGAAAGAGAATAAAAGGAATATTCTGAGTAAAGATAGAGGTGGTTGACACTGGTAGTCTGTGGTTGGAAAGAATATGAATATACTATTCTCACTGACAAAATGAATTACACATTCAATTATAATATTTATTTCACTTCTAGTTTGCCAGAAACTTACATGTACTTTGATATGGCCATTTCCCTTTTTGGGAAAATTCTCATAGGTTGTGTGCATATATGTACACCCCTGTGACAGTGAGTATTGTATGCTTTCCAAATATTGTTAGTCCACATTATTGTTTTATGCCACAGTGCTTTGGGTTCTTAGTTTTTTGCAGCTAAAAACACCCCTAATTTGACACAATTACTACTAGAGTCCATAATTTACATTAGGATCACAATACTCTACCTCTATTTATTCTCCATTTTATTCTTCAATTTATTTCTGTAGGACAGTTTGGTAGAGCATTTCCAGTCACAAATATTACATACTCTCTGTCCCAATAGTTTCCACATCTCAAAAATAAGTGGTACCTCAGTTCATGAACTTAATTGTTTCCACAATTCTGATCATAGAATTCATTCCACGATTCTGGCCACAACCAAACTGCAACCCAAATTGTGGAAAGAATTAAGTTTGTGAACTGCGGTATATCACGTGAATATGTATACACTGATTTAATTTTAGGATCATTCATTGCAGTAAGAAAAGACTGAACAAAAAAACATAATAAAGACTAATTTTATGGATTATTGTACATCCAAATGATATATTAATCTACAAATAAAAAAGTATAAAAACTTAATTTATTGACCTGGAGCAATATTTGAGGGTTTGCATGAGGTAGAGTTAAACAAGAAAGCAATATACAGCACATATTGTATAAAACAGGGAAAAGTAAACATAAACACACTCTCACATACAAATATTTGCATCTGTATGCCTGAAACAGTATATGAAAATTGGTGACATTTCATTGTCTCTGAGGAGGAGATCAGATGCCTGAGGGATAAGGCGTGAGGGAGAATTGTTGTTATATCTCCTATTCATAGTTCTTTGTGAATTCTGAACCATATGAATATATTTACTCTTCAAAAACAAATTTTTTTTTTTTTTTGATACCGGGGATCGAGCTCTGGTCCTTGCGCTTGCGCAGCAGGCGGCGAAACCACTGAGCTAAATCCCCGGCCCCCAAAAAAATTATTTTTAAAGGAAAAAATTGACAAGGGTAAAAATTAAACAAACAGAAAAACATTAGCAACATGCCAGACATAAAATATCAAAATTCCCAAGATATAAAGACACTTTGCAAATTAATTGAATAATGAGAGGTCAAAAAAGAAAAGGAATGAAGGAGATGAAGAGGGGATTTGTTCATATTTTGAACAAATACTAAGCATCCACTGGCATAAAATAAGACAAGAATTTCTGTACTTACAAAGCTGTGGGAGACACAAAAGTGTAAACATAAGTAAATTATGCACAGTAGTATGTTAGAAGGTGACAAATGCTATGAAAAAACATAGATTAATAGAGATAGAAGAGCTGACTGTTGGTGGGGCAGATTGCAATTTTGAAGTAAAAGTTTGGGGATACACCTGGTAAGAGGCAGTTACATTCAAGTAAAGTTGTGAAATGGGTTGAGAGAGCTAGTCAGGTGTTTAGGTAAAATCCCTCTGCCCAGTGCTTACTTAGCTGGGAGTGTGCCTGCCAAGGGGCCAGTGTGGTAGGAACTGAGTGACAGTTCAGGTAAGTACTGGAAGATGAGGTCAAGGAGGTAAGGGTGAAGGGTGGGGTATTTATTTATTTATCTGTTTAGTGTGGGGGATGCTGGTGATCAAAGCCTGGTCTTTATCCGTGTTAGGCAAGCGCTCTCATTGAACCACAATCCCAGCCCCAGAAGGAGGATATTTAGAGCCTCATAGCCATCCTCAGGTGAATGATTCGAGACAAGACCTGACTTCTGCTATATCAGGATCACAGTGGAATTGCTATGTTTAAGATAGATCAGGGTGCAGAAGTGGGGAAGCAGAAGAAAAGATTGGCCCTTTAGGAGGTTATTAGTAATGCAGGTGAGATTTAGGAGGTTATTAGTAGTGCAGGTGAGTAATGGTGGCCTGAATCAGGGAGCTGAGAAATAGTCAGCTACTAATGTATCTTAAAGGCAGAGTCACCAGCATCTGCTGACAGATTTCATGAGGCACATGAAAAAAAAAGAGAGAGGCAGGAACAGCCCAAAATGGTTGCTGGTTTGGATTGAGTGACTAGAAGGTTGGAATTACCTTCCACTGAGGTGGGCAAGACTTTGGTGAAGCAGGCTTTGGCTGTGGGGAAGAGCAGATATTCAGGTTTGGACATGTTGAGTGTGAGGTGCTATGAGGTGGAGATTTTGTGGAGGTAGTAGGCTCTGTGGGTTTGGGTTCAGAAATGAGATCTGGGCTGGAATTACATATTTGTGAGTCATCAGCAGGAGACTGGATGTGACCGTCAAAGTAGTGGGTCAGAGAGAAAAGTGGTCAAAGACTGACCTCATGCACCTTCCAACATTACAATGTCAAGGAGAAGCAGGAAAACCAACAAAGGGCATGGACACAAGGTCTGTGGGTTCAGAAGACAGCCAAGAAAGAGCAGTGCCCTTCAGGGCAAGTGAAGAGGGAATGGTCTGCTGGGCCAGGGGAGAGTGGGGTGACCCACTGAATAAGATGTTGGGCTTAAAACAAATAAAAGGGATTAATAATTGCCAGTTTGGTCTAAACATAATTTATGGAGGCTAAGGCAGAATTGCCATGAGTTTGAGACCAGCCTGGGCTATATAGTGAGTTCAAGGCCAGCCTGA